TATTATTCTTAACCTTCAGTAGGCTCCTCCCTAGAAAGCCTCCTTTCAACAAAGAACAAATGAGAAGTTAGCATGGCACTCAGGGAGGACGGGAAGAATGGGTGCTTTCTGTGGATCACTGAGTGTTTCTGTAGATGACTTCTGGTTATTACTACCATGCTCATTTAAAAAAATACAGTGTAGCTGGGTGTGGTGGTGCATGCCTTTAGTCTCAGCACTTGGGATGCAGAGTCAGGCAGATCTCTGTGAGTTCATGGCCAGCCTGGTCTACATAGTGAGTTCCAGGCCAGCTGGGGCTACAGGGAGACTCTCTCAAAATGATTAAAAAAAACAAAACAAAACAAAACAAAAAAACCTGCATCAGGCTGGGGGTGCAGTGCAGTAGCAGAACTCTGGTGCTTGATCCCCAGTGTGGCATAAATAAATAATAAATGAAATCAGTTGTCAAGTGAGTAGTGAAAAGTGAGGTGTGCGTGCAGAGTTATCAGTTGATGGTGGTGTGCTATGGCAGGCCTCCCTGACTTCCTACAGTAACTTCCTACAGGAATGTTGACAACTTTAAGCCTCCTTAAGGAATCCCAGCAATGCTGAATAACTTTCCCTCAGTATTTCTGCAGTTAGCCTTCCCTGTACTTAAGGTTTCCAGTATGGCAGCCCTGGGAATTGATGCTGCCTTTTTATGGGTTCCTTTATAGTGTCATTCGCTTGCTTGTTGTTTTTGTTTATTTTTTATTTATTTATTTATTTTTTTGAGAAAGGGTCTCACTGTAGCCTATAGCCCAGGCTGGCTTCAAACTTGTGGTATCTTCTTGCCTCAGTCTCTGAGTGCTCGGATTGTAGGTGTGAGCTACCACATCTGGTTTACAGTGCCTTTAACGTATTCATCTTTCTTTCTTTACATTTATCGTGTGTGCATACAAATGTGTATGCACCATGGTCTGCATGTGGCAGTCAGAGGACAGATTGTGGCACTCAGATCTTACCTTCCACCATGTGGATTCCAGGAATTGAACTCAGATCCTCAGCCTTGGTGGCAAATGCTTTTACCTGCAGAGTCATCTCACAAGCCCTGAAATATTTTCTGAGACCAGATAGTAGCATATACAGGTTTTTTTCATCTTCGATGGAATGAGTAAATAGATACTCATTAATGAAGAGATATTATGAATATTTAGGATTCCATAAGCAATTAAATGAAGACCTATTTAAAGAGAGTTTTTCTAATAAAAACTTAGCATTATAAAGATAGTCTTATTTAATTTAATGGAAAGGGGAAGTAGGAGGTCCCCATGGCCTCCTCTAGGGTATGTATCTCATAGTCACAGTAAGATTGGTTCAGTTAAGAAGCTGGGCCAGAGACAGCTTTTGTTAGGGCAGTAGCATCTTTGATCATGCGCAGCTTATCTGTGTCTTGGGTCATATTGTCCCTGTCTAGACTGGTAATTTCCTTAATGGAGTTCTAGGATGGAAATAACTTTTCTCCAGAATTTTAGGAGCATTGCTTTATTGACTTGGAGTGTTCTCAAGCCATTGTGATTCATGATCTTTTAGCTATGACTTGTTATTTTGCCCCATTTCTCACCTCTCATCTCTGGACATTTGTAATATCTTTTGTGTATGGTGTTCTGAAATTTGACAGTGTTGTCTATGTATATCAAAATTTCAGATACGTTGGTCCCAGTGAATATTTCAAGTGGTCAAAATGATATCTTCCTTTGGTTATTGCTGAGCTTCTTTCCTATTTTGGGTGCTTGAGGGGTTTCTCCTGATAGAATGCTGAGCATTTACACTTATCATTTTTATATCGTTCTGCTTATCCTCTCTCTTCTTTTCTCTGAAAAGTTGTCTTGGCTCTTTTCTATTGTATACCTTCTGATGAATATTTCTTTCCATTATTATGCTGTTAAAGAATTAATTCAACCTTTGTTAAAATGGTAAAGACTGCTTTGTTCAAGGCTATTGCAATAGGGGAATATTAGTGGCATGGAGTGCTAGAGCAGGTACCACAGCTCTGTGGCTTAGACAACTAAAGCAGTTTCTTGGCAGTTCTGGAGCCTGCACATCTGAAGTCAGGCCATGGGCAAGGCTGCGCTCTGCTGAAGTGCTCTCATCACCTGGGTTTTGGGGTGCTCACACAGTATTTGGTTTTCGTGCTGGCAGTCCTCATTCTATAAAGCCACCAGTCTGCCCTCATTAGCATTCTATGCTTATTGCCTCGTTTAACCAGTTACCCCCTTAAGTCTTGTGTCTGATTCTTACGGACTGGTGACTCTTTAAAGACTCACTTCATAGACTTATGGCTCTGATAAAGAAGGAGTGTTAGATATCTGCCTTTAATGTCACTGCTTTCACTGGGAAGTTGCAGTACATTATTTAAAGTGGGAAAGTGATCTGAATAGTTGAAAAGAATTTGTCATTCTGTTTTTGAAATTTAGAGGTTGTGATTTCTTTGTGACTTTGAATTTTTTAGCCTTTGAGGGATAATCATTCCTAACTGATCTCTAGTGTCTGTTCTATAACTTCCCTTTGTAGAGCTGCTACAAGACCAGTGCCTTAAAATTGATAAGTGGTTTTAAATAAAGGGTGTGGGGGAAAGTAGGAGTTGTGTGACCAGTGTCTATTGGGTGCCATTGGAATGATGATCTCAGTTTTATGTCATTTGATTCCCTCAGCAATTCTGTAAGGTAAGTGATATTACCCCACACAGAGAAACCTGTAAAGATAAAGATCAGAGAGGTAACTTGCTTAGGGCCTGTCAGTGATGGATCTGAATTTCAAGCCCAGGTTTTAAGAGAATTCAACCCTTTCTAGTCTACTATCTCCTTTTACTTTTTCCAAATGGCGTGAACAATTCATTCACGCACCAGTGACTATTAAGTTGCGCATTTTGTGCTAGGCCTTAGGAGCAAGCAGTAAATAGTTCATGTCATGATAGAATTACAATGGCACAATGAAATGAGGTTTAGGTTTCAAGGATTACTGCAGCTCTGTGGGTGAGTAGAAGCAGGCATAAAGGGAACTGCAGAAGTCTTGGTAGAGGCAGTGCTGGCTTGGACTAAGGTAGCAGGAGAGATGCTGAGTACTGGGTGAATTTGAGATGCGGACGGGAGGAAGAACTGACAAAATTAGGGGGTGATACAAATCTGGATGGAGCTGAGGATGACTCTAGGCTTGATTTGAATTGAGTACTTTTGCCTTTTCTAATATGGGGAAGAACAGGCTAGTATGCAGACTAGAGTAATAACATGATAATAATGTATCTATTAGATACATTAGGTGTCCAGTAGGCAACTAAACATCTGGGAGTTCGGTGGGGCTCTGAGATAGAGAGATAAGTTTGGGTATCACTCACATATAAATGGTATGTTAAAGCCATGGGAGGATTATCTGGGGGAAAGCAAACATGTGGACATGGCAATAAAAGTCTCTTCTTCGTTTGATTTGTTACTTTAGAGTTTCATGCCCGTGTAATAGTGTTTACCACGTGGAGAAAGCAGTGTACTGTGTAGCCACTACATGGAAATATTAACCAGCAGGCACACTGCAATAGTGCCAGCACCTTAGCAGCTTCATGTCTCTGTGACTGTCACGAGGGACTGCATCTCAGAGCTCCTAAGTGAAGTTCCCAGGCACACAGAAGGAACAGCATGGAGTGTAAACCACCTGCTTCTTAAGTATGGGTAAACAGTGAGGTATTGAAAAGGGAACGTCTAGGATCATTTGCTGTCAGATTTACTGATTCACATATTAATCTTACAACCTACACAACTCATTAAAGCATTTTGGATCATGTTCCCACCAGGCTACTCAGTAGACAGAATGATGAATGTTACCTCTCAGAATGCCGAGAGTGAAAGAAGCCTCATAGAACGGCTGGAAAAAGGGACTGAAACCCCTAGTAGGCACAGCCTAGAACCACCCAGATGTCATCAGCAGGACACCGGATAAACAGTGTTATTCAGTGGACCAGCACACACAACAGTATACCTTACTTTGTTTAATATAAAAATACTTTAGAAAATTTTATTTTTATTTTTTGTGTATGTGTACTCCTTGCATGTATGTAAGTGCACCTGTGTCATGCTGTGCCCAAGGAAGACAGAACAGGGAGCCAAATTCCCTGAAACTGGAGTTACAGATGGTTGTTAGCTGCCATGTGGGTGCTGGGATTTGAATCCAGGTCTTTTGCAAGAACAGTCAGTGCTCTTAACTTCTGAGGCAGTTCTCCAGCCCCCTGTTTAATATAAAAATGCTTTTTAAATAAAGGAAACCAGGCACAAAAGAATGTGGACTATATGTTCTCATTTATTTGAAGTTCAAGAACAGACAAAACTAATGGAATGGTAGGGGTGATGACTGACCAAAAGGAGCTATGAGAGACTGTAGGGTGACTGGAATGCTCTGTATATCAAGGAAGGTGTTTGATCGGTAGCTCTGCTCCTTGTCTAAGCTCATCAACTTAGGCACTTACATTTGTACATTTTACTGTATGTAAATTTGAAATCAGAAAAATAAAAAAAGCACGTGCCAAACAACTTTGTGAGAATGTGCCTGAGAATCCATTCCTACAGCCCCAGGGTCACAGAGGCCCCAGGAACACTGTCACTCTCCCCTCAAATCCAAAGTGAGTTCTTTTTCAACTTTTTGCTAACTTTGCACCATAAACATCTATTCCTGCAAGACTGTTGTGCAAAACCTTGACCGGTACAAACTGAGCATTTCCATTCCTACTCTGGGGGAAGCGCACTCTGTTAAACTCAGGGCTGAAGGCAGGGGGAGGCCGCTGGAGTTACTCAAGGGTGGAACAGCTGACCGGCCTGATTTAAAGATGAGCAGAGAGGGCAGAAGACAGCAGGATGGGAGCAAGAAGACAGAGGTCCTCTGTCGCAGGGACAGGAGTGTTTATGTGACTTGAGATTTACATGTGCACTTTTAATGGAAATGTTTTTTAAGACTTTTCCACAGTTACTCGTGTTTCTTTATCTGTTTCTTTGAAACAGGAGATATTGGATAACCTCCTTCAAAATGGAAGACGGAAAGCCTGTTTGGGCGCCGCACCCCACGGATGGATTTCAGATGGGTGACATTGTGGATATTGGTCCAGACAGCTTAACAATCGAACCCTGGAACCAAAAAGGCAAGGTGAGTTCCTCAGAGAGACCGCAAAGTGTGATTTCTTTCAAGTGCAGTCATCTTTTTTCTTCCCTTCACAGGATAGGTGAGACAATGAAGTAGGTGTTCCTGGCATAGTGTGAGGAAAAGCAAATTTCTGGTAAGGCAATTGTAGTTTGTAGTGACTGATTTGATTAAGTTGGAAGTAGGTGCTTTCAGGGAAAATGTTACGCTGGGATGAAATCAGAAATGTTAGGGAGCCTTTCACAGTTGCATTTCTAGGTATGTAATAAAATATAAGTAATATGCATTTTTTGATCTTTCGATCTCCCTCC